GACCATGGGAGGCTAGGAGAGAGGCATGGGACGCATTCTCCCATGAGCCTCTGGGAGGACCCAACTCTATCAATACTTGGATCTCAGACTTCTGGTCTCCAGACTGTGAGAGACTGGCGTTTTGATCTTTAAGCCACCCAGTTTGAGGGAATTTGTTACAGCCGCCACAGGAAACTAACACAGAGGGGAGGGGGGTGAGGAAGGAGGCAAGAATGACTCCCAGTGTTGTGACGAGGGTGTCCTGGGCGGCTCGTGGTGTGGTTTGTTGAGCTAGAGAATGCGGGAGAAGCCAGCTGGGCCATTTGCAGAGAGCAGAGCCCTGGGGACCCAGGACCCGGGACAGGTATATTTTGATGGGCAAGTACGAGGAAGAAAAAAACAAAAGGCATCCAGAGTCCATTGAATCTAGGAATCAGGACTACAGCCCTAATCTCTGTTCTTTGCGGGGCTGTGTCCAGCCTTCAGTGACTCTGGGAGGAAGAGGGGGAAGCAGCCATGAGCCATAAATGAGTCTGTCTTGCAGGGCTTCCTGTTGGTCAGCCAGCAGCCTACGTATGGCCTTTGGTGTCCAGTTTAAACTGGTTCTTCTTGTTCCATGATTACACAATAAAGGGGGCCCCGTGGGCTCTAGAACCGAGGCCAGTTCTGCGCATGCTGTGCAATGGGGCAGGAGAAGCTAGCATGGGGCAGGACACATGGGGCAGGGCAGGGGAAGCGACGATGGAGAAGAGGTGGCTTCAAGGACCAACTTGGTCTCTTGCCATTTTTTCTCTGGAAGCACCTGCAGGTGCGCCCCCAATGCACCCACCAATTCTGTAGCAAAACCAACTATGGCACTGGTCCTTCCAGCCCCCAGCTGATCCTGCAGACCTGCTGGCACAGTTGGGTGCAGAGGGCATCGAGACCCCAACATCATGTGCCCCGCCCTCCACACAGATGAGTCTGAGCACCTCCAGCCAACAGTGCTGATGAATTCCTCTTGCCTCTTGGGCATCATTTTCTCATAATTATAGTGGGGAGAAGACAGGGAGCCCCACTGAGAAAGAACGCAGAGCCCCATGCCAGAGCCCCAAGGCGAATCCTCCCTGAGGACTACACTAGAGCAGCACAGTTTTTTCCAGGGCGTAGAGGAAAGATAAAATCTGATTTAATTCCTAGGAAATTGCCTTTTTACCCACCTGTGTAAGCCTGTATTTAAATGCTAATATTTTTGGCCTGCTGGGATGCCACATTTATTTTCTTCCTGCGCAGCCACAAAAATCATTTATTTATGAGAATTCCAGCTCCTGCCCTCTCTCCTGAATTCCTCACTTTCATTTTCATCTACCAGCTGGATGTTTCTCTCCCCAAGACATGGTGGATCTGTAACCGTCTCCCTCCCCACCTTCGACCCTCTGTATACCTGTCCTGTTCCATTTCTAGGACTGCTGGTGGCTTTTGACTCCCAGGCCCCAGACTTTTCCTCAGATCAGTCCCCAGGCCCTTTGATTCAACCTCCTCCCCTGGGGGGAATCACTACATCTGACTGAGCCTCCACTTCCTCTTCTGTAAAATGGGTATAATACCAACCCATGAGTTTGTTATAAGACCAGGATAATCCACATACAGCCCCCAGTACAGCATCTGTTAACAGATCGTGGTGATTATTTTTATAGCCATCGTGACCACCCTGCCCTCACCATGGAATCTGCCCTCCTCTTAGTGGTTGTTCTATCATGAGCTGTTCAGTGAGCTCTGAGGGGACCCTATCCTGCTGATTAGAAAACACTGACTGGTCGCTGTTTGCTTCAGAGCATTTTCATGCTCTGAAATTCTCTATCTTATGAGTGTGTTTGCTTGTTTATGGTCTGAACACCCCTCCTCCAATCTACCTCTAAAATGCAGTTTCCACAAGGATTTTGTCTTATTTACTGGCCTAGCCCCAGTGCCTAGCACATAGTGGCATTCTAGAACTTCAGAAGGGAAGACACCTCGACTGGGCTGGTAATGAGGCTCCTGACCCCAGCTTCAGAGGTGCCCTGAAATCTGCCCTGTCTGGTGTGTTGGGCTGGGACTCTGCAAGCCGCCTTCCTGCATTGCCAGCAGGAGAGAGGGAGGCTACAGGGTGGGGAGGGCCCTTGCCCCAGGCAGCTTCTGCTCCACGGACCCCACTCCACTGCTCTTTCCTCCACCCCTGCCTGTAGGTTCCCTCTTGGCAGTTGCTGCCAGTTTCTGAAATGTGGTTTTGAAGGCCCAGAATCAGCATCATGACTCCCTCTGAGAGGTACCAGCACGAGCCAGCAGGCACCCGCTCCTCAGAGTCTGGGTCTTAGCCTCATGGGGTCCCCCCTGCAGGATTGAAGGTTCTGAGGATCCCAGCTCTTTCCATTGTCTCTCCCCCGTCCCCAAGCACTGGAGCTGATCCTGCAGTCACCTCCATGAGTCCTCAGTGCCCCTTTTAGCCTGTTTGATCTTCCAGTACTTGCTGGACAAGTCTTTATATGTAACTTGAGGCCCAGTGCACGAATTCGTGCATGGGTGGGGTCAGGTCAGCCCACCCCAATCGGGGCTGATGGGGCCAGGCCAGCCGGGGGGAGGGGTCTCGGGCACTTGGTGGGCTGGCTCTGCCCCCTGGTCAAACTCCAGGTTGAACTGGTGGAGGCGTCAATTTGCATATTAGCCTTTTATTACATAGGATTCTCACTGTTAAATGGCCATGGGCTGTGTCTCCTGGCTGCACAGTGACACTGTGACTGAACCTGTGCCTGGCCATACCCCTCTCCACCCCACCTCCCAGCCCACAGCCATGGCCACAGAGGGAACTCAACTCTTTCCAGGATGGATGTCTCCATTCTCTCTCCACGATGCTTCAGAAGACAAGGGTTTAGGATCAAAACGGACAGCTGCTTGTTTCTTGCACTAGTAAGGCAAACTCTTTCTCTCTCACGCTGCCAGTCACTTGAATTTCGAACCCTGCGAGATTTGAAATAAGTTTCCAATATCAAGTGGTCATGGATTCAAATTCATCCTCAGCTGTGTGGCCACCTACAAGCGACTTTCCCTCTCTGGGCCTGTTCCCTCATCTGTTGAATGAGTAGCATAACAGTACCTGCCCTTTCAGGCTTACAGTAAGGATTAGAAATGGGGAACGTAGGTACTTGGACCAATCGCCGGCACCTGGAAGGCACTCGTGGATTCTGCCGTCACTGTTATCATTGTGGGATGGCCTCTCAACCTGCTGAAGGCCTCTCTGAGCCTTGTACTAGGGAGGTCGGCACACTCTACTGGGCCCGGATGCCACCTGGAGCCCCCACCTGCCTCTCCTTCCCCCTGGAACTGGCGTGGCCGGTAGATGCCTATAGCTGGTTCCATGTGGAGAGATAACTCGGCCTTCCCGAGTCCCTTTGGCTGATGCACAACTGTGTCAGGGAGGCTAATTACAACCCTGCTAATGGCCTGATTTCCCTGGTGCCACCTGAATATTCCAGGAGCACGTGGCCTCTCTTTCCTTGCAGTCACGTGTTCCTTGAGCAGAAAACAATTCTCTCCGGTTGTGCGTTTCACTCGGGCACAACTTGCCTTCCTTTGCCGAGAATGTCCTTGGCACACTCACCACCTTGCCCACATGTCTGGGGATTTTGCTGTGTGATGTTGTGGATGCTGCTGACCCTCTCTGGGCCTGAGCCGTTCATCTAAGGCTGAGTTCCAATACTTGATGCCTCGCTGAGATCAGAGGAGACTCTGAAATGCTCCGTGTTTGAGTTACTACGAAGGGAGGTTAAAATCTGGAGCTTGGCGCCATGATTTGCCGTGATCCCCAAGCTTTATCTACACGGCCTCTACTCCGCTGTAGAATTGTTTTAGGGCACAGAGGCAGGGGTGGCAACGCCCCAGCAGTGGCAGCAGTAGGAGCAGCAGTCACGACCTTTGCCACTGACAAAATGGCTTACTCCAGCAGAACCTATGTTAAGCACATGGACTTCATTTAAACCTGCCCAAATCCTGTGAGGTAAGGATCATTATCCCCATTTTGCAGAAGAAAAAACTGAGGTGCACCTGCTAGCTCGATAGCTGCTAAATTGCAGACCTTAGAACCCCAGGTCTGTCTTGGGTCTTTGCACTTGTGGCTCCTGGGCCCTAACAGTGGTCACCCCAGAGAGCGGTGTGGCCGGTTTGGGGCTCTCTGCTCAAATGTCATTTTTATAGAGAGAAGCCGTCCTCGATGACCCTGTGAAATAGGAGCTCCTGTCACTCCATCCAACTGGGCTTTCTTTTTCTTCAAAGCACAAGCCTGTGTATAGACAAGGGTGTTGACTGACCTGTCCTTCCACCACGCGAATCTGAGCACCATAAGCCCAGGGACATTGCTTTGTCCACCACCCTACACGGCGCCTGGAGCAGAGGCCAAGGTGATGGCATGTTTATACATACTTCACAGGTGCACACTGAACACGTGAGCGGCTAAACACCGGGGGCCAAGGCCCATGCTCTCAACCAGCATTGGCCAGACCCTTGGAACAACAGGTGCCACTGTTTCTTTTCCCCCACGAGGCCGTTTAGATGTTGGGATTCCAGATTCCTGAGCTGGAGTTCAAATGCAGACACACACCCTCCCCCAAAAGAAACCACATGTAGAGCGTGAGTTCCAGCTCACCTGGCACTTTCTCAGCTGCTAGTCTCCATTCTCATCCTCTAAACCAGTGGTTCTCAACCTTGGCTGCACATTGGAATCACCTGGGGATCTTTTTAAACTCCTGATTTCTGGGCCTCATTCTCCGGAAATTCTGTTTCTTTGTTATGGGGTGGGGCCACAACATTAGTGACAAAGAAACAGAATTTCCGGAGGATGAGGCCCGGAAATCAGGATTTGAGAACCAGGTTGAGAACCACTGTTTTATGGCATCTCCGAGGACTACTTTCTTCATGGAGAAGGGCACTAATCACACTCCTCCCCTATCCTGATCGGAGCACACAGGCTCTCACCTGCTCTGCAGGGTGGAAGCTGATACGGAGCAGCTGACTCCAGTGGGAGCACTGGAGCAGGAGGCAGCCAGAGGCAGGAAAAGGCCCGGCCACGCGCCGCGCTGCCCACTCCGCCCGACTTGTCCGTGATGCGCCAGGTCACGGAGAGGCTGCCGGCAAACTTTCCACTCCGTGCCCAACAGCAGCTTCCTGCTCCTGTGGGGAGTTCTCCCAGCTCTGATCAGGGCACAAAAAAATCGATCTATTAGATCAAGCAGGAAGGAGAAGGCAGGAGACCAGCCGGGAAGCTGCGGAACGGAGTGTTTTGGCGTAGCAGTCCCCTCCCTTCTGACTGGAGTATTAATTGCTACATTGCCACTGCCTGGAAGAAAGACAGCCAGCAGAGCCTGGGAGAGCTCCCGCTCCCTCCCTGTTCGCTCCACTGCACGCTCCTCGGTTCCCTCGGAGCGCCCTGTGCCCTGGCAGCGCTGGCCCAGCCCTGGCATCCCCAGGTCCTCCTGTGGGTAGCACTTGAGTGGAGGGAAGGACAGCGTGCCCTGCAGGCTCTCTGGATGCAGGAGCTGGGCTCCCTGCAGAGGCAGCTGTGCGGTGCCAGGAGCTCCCGCGGTGCGTCCCTCTCTCTGGGCTCGCCCAGGCGGGCTCCAGGTGCCAGGGGCACGCAGAGCAGAGCCTTCGCTTCTGGGCATTGAGAGCAGAGCCTGCCTCCCCTCTGCCACCATGAGCGGCTGCTCCAAAAGATGCAAGCTCGGGTTCGTGAAATTTGCCCAGACCATCTTGAAGCTCATCACCGGGACCCTCAGCAAAGGTAGGAAGCCTGGCCCGGACCCTCCTTTTCTGCCTTGATGGGATCTGGCTGGTCGGGGTGCCTCGCCGTGGCCAGTGGGGCTGTTCTGGTGTGCGTGGGTCCCGAGGAGGCGGGGAGGGACCGGTGGCTGGGATTTGGGGCTGCTGACAGCCTGGGTCCTGGCCTGGGCGGGCGGGCACCCGGCCAGGGAGCTCAGCTGGCGCTAATTGTCTGGAACTTTGGAAATGGGTTTGGTGGTGTGTGGCCGATCGGTTACAGTCGGGCAGAGGGAGAGCGCTCTTCCCGGAGCACTGGAAGCTGCTTAGCGTGACTAGAGTTTCAAGAAGTTATCTGCAGAGTGTGTGTCTTGTTGATAAGAGAGATTTGGCGCGGGGGGCTGTGAGTAACAGAACGGAGATGTTGGAGGGCCAGCAGGAGGCGGCCCTGGGCCCTGGTGGGGGTGGGACCCGTCGCTCTGGGCTTGGTGTACCGAGCTTTCTCGTGGGGTTCCAGCGTGCTGCGTTTCGGGGGCTCTGGTCATCGGTCTGTCCCTCCGCATCGCCTGCCTGTGTTGATGTCTGGCCTCTGCTTCTCTAAGAACAGGGGTGGCAGCCAGTCCCCAAGTTGCCTCCCCGGCAGCCCAGAAAGGGCGGTTGGGACTACAGCCAGGACTGTGTGTCTGTGACTCCACCCCCGGGGCAGTGGGGAGACTATCTTCTCAGGGGCCGTTCCTGCCTCTGGAGCCCCATCTTCCACCCTGACCAGGGAGGTGAGGACCTCGGGGACACCCTGGCAAACTTTCTGGAGAGAATATTTAAAGGGACAGCAGCAGCATGATGTGGCCTTGCTGGCTGGGAAAAAAATGTCTTTAAAATTCACACCTGATTCAGGAGGTGCGGTTATGGGGAGATGCATTGGAAGCAGGAGGCAGGAGATTTGATCAGGATTTTAAAACTTGAAGATGAGCGAAGAGACGGGCCGTGTGTGGCAGCTCTAATAATGACATGGCTCAGGCCCCCAGCTGCCTCGTGCGTCTGGCCTGCTGCAAACTGAAAGGTGTGTGTGTGTGTGTGTGGTGGGGAGAAAGGGTGAGATGTTGCTATCTACTTTCTCAGGCCCTTTCGTCGCTCCTGTTCTGTCCCACTGCCCTCCTCCAGGGAGCCCAGGGGGACTGCACCCCCAAGGCTGAGGGTCAGCTGCCTGGCAGCACTATTGGGAGGCCTGCGTGGGATGGGCGGATGTGAGGAGGAGCGTGCAGAGGGCTGGGAGATTGCACAAAGTCCCACCACTCAATCCTCTGAGACAAATTGAGGCTCCACCCCAACCCCGTCCCCCTGCCCCCCGCATCTCTG